TAATTGTCAGCAAATAATCATGAATATCAGACAAGTATTCTCCTCGAATTCCTTTACTTTTCCTACTAAGCAAAATACATTCGCTGCAAAAGTATTGCAAACTTACAAATATAAATGCAAGTTTCCTTGCAAGTTTGTTAAATATTTATTGATAGCTTTCGGCAAGTTTGAATCTGCCTTACTCTAAACTTGAAAATTAAACTTAATATGCCATACTTTATGGAAACTTACGAAATTAACTTATTGTTAACATACAATTAAACATTTATATCAAGTTTCAATTTAAATATTATCTAAGAATTTTAATAACGAATTATCTGAAAATGTTCAAAATCACACTTGACTTACACTGTTAAATTTGAAGTTCTATTAAACTTACCAATATAAATACGATTTCAACTATCAGGATTTCATTGTTTCTATATCAGGTGTTCCATTATATTTTGAACCATTCTAAAACAATGTTACTTTTGAACTATATAGTTGAAATAAAGAAATGCGGTTTCACCAGTCTTCTTTTAATTTTTATAATTTTTTTTGCTCACTATCTGGCTTAAGCAAAAATAACATTCTGATTTTTGGAGATAGGGCAACAGTTATTTCAGTTTATTTTTTTCAGTTCAATGGCCCACTGTTTCCTCTTTTCATAATGCCATACTTTCATAATTGTAACAAAGGGTGGTTTTATAAGCTCTTAAAAATAAATACTGCATGTTATTTTCATTGTTCAATAAAGTGGTATTTTACTCTTTGTTAGATCGAGTTTCATATGTACATCTTGAAAAATATCAACTGAAGTAACATGTACATGACAGTATTTATTTTAAAAGCGAATAAAATCATATTCTAGTATTATCCTACGAAGCAATGGCACTTATAAAAAGAGGATATATTGAACTTTCAAATTGAGAAAAATATACAAGATATACTTAGTTGTCATATCCCTGAAAATATGAACTGTCATATTTGGTAGGATTGGAAGTAAGCCAAAAAAATATTAAATATACAAAAAAAAAATATAAAAATTAAAAGAAGAGTAATGAAAACTACATTTCATTATCTCAACTAGTTTAAAAATTACATAGGTTCTTAGATAAAAGAAGCAATAGATGATGCATTTTATTCATAAAGTATGTTTTGTTTGGTCCCAATCATTGGAAAAGAGAAAGAAGATATTTTATGCGGATTGAAAGAAGACTGTAATCGAAAATCTCGTCTGGCAACGCTGCTGGTACACGCAACTAAAAGTCTGTCGATACCAGTGGCGTATCTTATATATAAAATCATAACTTATTATAAAAAAATAATGAAATACTAACCTATATGGTGTGCAATAAACTTTATAATGGTTTAAACTTTAAAACCGATTATATTTGGAAGACGGGCATGAAGTTCAGTGGAATGTAGGTAAAAAACTTAAAAACACTATTTTTTTTTTTTCAAGAATAATGCAATATTTATTACATATAAAGATGTTAAATAAAATAATTAAAATAAAAACAAGATAAATAAATCAAGATTTATTTTAAACAAATTTACGAATCCAATTTTGGGGATAAAATTTGAACAGTTTTACAAATTGGTAAATGAGAGATTTTTAAATCAAAATTCAGATTTTTAACACTAATAAATTTATAAAAGTTATTAAATCAATAAATTTACCAGACTTATATACAAGGTGGGGATTTTAAATTGAACGCTTCTTATAGCGGATCTGGCGATAACAATTTCGTAAAATACGAAAACACGTAGAACTGTACAAGAATAAACCTGCGTTAGTAATAGGCGTTGAAAAAAACTGTTTTTGTTTGAAACAGAAAATTTTATTATTTCTTAACAATATCACTTTTGTGTTTATACTTCTTACTTTATTTTTTCTTAAAATATCCAACTTTTTTGTTGTCTCATAATGAATGCGAATATTAAATAATGTTTTAATATCAGCTCTATTAAATCTACTCCGTAATTTTCAAAAATATCGCCATCAAAAATGTGATCTCTAAAAAAACTGAATATGTTAGAATCTAAGGCTTTTAAAGTATTTAAAATTAATATATCCAAAACCCCTTTAATATTCTTATTAAAAATATTGATGGTTTTCTGGAAAAAAACGAAAAAAATGTTCTTCCGCTTTACATATGTTAATAACCATATAATTCGTTTTAGTAAGTCTTCCATATGTTTTTCTTTTTTCTTGTTCCAATAGATTTAAATATTTTAAACACGAAACACACTTTTTTAACGATTTTACAACAAATCCAGAGATAAGAAACAATTTCAAGAACATATAATGTTAAGTCTCAGGATAGTGACATAAAAAAATCTGTTTTTTCTATATCTCTATGTACATAATTAAAAATGGTTTTATATTCCTGAGCTTCCTCTAAATTTTCCCCATTAGGCTACCCTAACCACAAGTTAAAATTGAAATAAAGCATAAGCATATTTATTTTACTACTATAGTCCAGACGAAATTAATAACGTTGAAAGATCAAAGAAAATAATTAGGTAATATTAAAACAAAAGTAGATAATACATGTGTTACGGTAAAAATTTTTAAATCTACACCTCTGAACTATGCAATACACTTAGACTAGGCAATAAAGAGAGGACTCATAACGTCGCTAAAAATCTTGTGCCATTTTGACACCAACGATATTTGACCAAACGCGTAACATGTTGGAAATAAAAAAAACGAACTTGTATTTATGTTATTAGTACTTCATTGATCTTTTTAGGTATAAAGCAAGTTCAAAGCGTAAAATTTAAAATAAATAAGTAACAATAAATAAGACACAAGAAAAAATATGTTGAAATAAACTAATTGAAATGATTTTTTTTTAAACCGCAAAATAAAACATAATGATCTACATGTATTACAAAAAGATTTATTATTACTTAATAAAGAATGACACTACCCAGATAGCACAGACACGTTTTAAAGGCATCTTAAATACGTTTGTTCACGACGTTCGTGACGTTTTGAATATCTACGATAATATCCAAAAGATGTCTTAAAGGCGTCTATAGGACGTACTCTGTTACATAACAAGGCGTCTTTAGGACATCTAATTTTGTACGTCTTGAAGACAAACCGTATTGGACGTGTTTAAGTCGTCTATTTATTTGATCGAAATTCATTTAAAAAATAAATCTACTATATTTAATACTGTTTATTATACATTATTAAACTATTAAAACTGACACAGAGTAAATATTATTTTACAGTGTTGGATAAAATAATTAAAAAATGACTTCAAGTACTTGTTGCTATGAGAAACTATTCCAGTTTGGTCGATTTAAAAATTTCTTTTATGGTATTTAATTTTAGCCAAAGCGTTTGTAACTATTGTCTCCGTAGCATATACTTTTGTTGAGTTATTGTTTTAAGGCGTTTTTCTAAAAAATAAGACATTATTAAAGTGAGGTTATGAAATTAAGAGGAAAATAATTTAAAACTTACCTTTTCTAATGATAAAGTTTACTAGTTCCGGTATACCACAGTTCCAATAATGGCAAATAAATAATATAAAAAGAAAATATATATAAAAACACACACATCCACGAAAAAGTAATGACAATGTCCACAAACTGACTCTAAAAATATTATACAATGACTGTCCCGAGAAGAAGGCAGCTAGAGGAAGACCACGACTCGATACGTGCGCGCGATACTCCAATCAGCCAATGACGAATGACGATCTATATGCGCTGCAGGCAGCGCCAAGAACGCTGTTGTGGCGCCATATTCAAATATAGTGAAAAGACTTAAACGACATATTTAAAACGTCCTAAAAATATCCCAACGAAGACGTTTTAAACATGTCCTGAGCAGGGCGTCTTAAAACCGTTCATTTTACGTACCAGGACGTTTGGACGAAAGTAAGATATGAACTGGACGTCTTTAAGATGTAGTGTGCTCTCTAGATATTATTAAATTAAGCTAGTAAAAAAAATTATACATAAATGAAGATAAATTTATTACTGACCCTTAACTAATACTAATTTGGTACAATAACAAGAAGTTTTAGCGAACAACTCTTTTTTTCTTTTAAGTTTTTGTTTAAGAACTTTGATTTGTCTTATTTTTTCTTTATTCTTTTCTACCTGTTGTAAAAGTTGTCTTCTAAGACGTTTTATGCTAGAGCTTTTTAGGATAGATTCCTTATTTGAAGTTCTATTTGCAAATGCAAAGCTCTTCTTTTTAAGTACTACAAAAAATCAATTATTACGGTAATGTTTTGAATTATACACAAAAGGGTTGCTAAATTCTTAAAAGTTCATAACATAATAATGAAAAGTAATTAAAAAAATATATATGTTTAATTATGTTTATAAGTATTCGCACCTTCTTGGACTGCATGTATTTAGAGAATTCAGGAAATATAGTGGGAATGCTTCATTTTGTAAACGTCTCTTACAGTCCATCCCATAAAAAAAAGTCTTTCAAAACGTTTTGGCATAGGCATCTAATTTGCAATTTTCGTTGCCTGAATCGAAAGTTTTTGCTGAATCCACAGGAAACCTAAAATAAAACAACAAATAAACATTGCTGCAATTAAATAAGAAGCAAAAGTAAATTAATATTTAATAAAAGTTAATATTTAGAATTGTACGACACGCCACTGGAAAAAATTACATGTTTGCCCATTTTAATATCATTAATTACTTAAATATCTATTAAAAACATAAAATAAACTTGGTGGGTAAAATTTATTACTCTGGAGTGAGACATGTACAATATGTAAATACCAAGTTGTATAACACCAAATAAAATGAAAAATATAAGAAAATATATAAAGTGAAAACGACTGATGTTTATCATTTACCTGTTAAACTTATTTATTCGCGCCAATTCGCTTGCACTGTAACCGTAGCCTAGCACAGTCCATGATGCGATGAGACAGCACTTACCTAATGCCTAATAAAATAAATACAATTTTTTAAATCTAATATATAATAATTATTATTTATTATAAATATAGTTTTTATAATTGCAGGTTTAACGGACTTTTTACCAAAATGTTATCTTTGCAAATCAAATGATTACATCATATTAGAAGACCTATCGTATCACAATTATACCAGTGCGTCAATTTTTGTTCCCGCTGAATATGACTGGTTAATATTAGTTATCAAACAAATGGCAAAAATACATGCTTGTTCCTTTGTTTTCGAAGAAAAAACGTCAAAGAAAATGGGAAAAAAAATTCGTTTGGATGAAGTTTACAAACCATTTCTTACAGAATACCTTTTCTCTGAGACGAATCCGACCGGTGGCGTAATATTAAATGGAACACGATTGGTTGACACTTATTTTCTTGAAAAATTTGTAGATAGTAATTCTCTTGAGGATGTGAGAACGAAAACTACAAAGGCTTTTAAAAAAATGTATAAAGATATCGAAGTATCTGACATCTATAGAAATGTTATATGTCATGGAGATATGTGGGGAAGCAATATACTAACTAAATATAATAAAAATGTACCTGTTTCTTGCAGACTGGTTGATTATCAAATGATCAGATACTGTTCTCCTATAGTTGAGCTGCTATTTCTCATTGAAATTAATACAAACCAAACTATACGAAATAAATTTTATCAAAAGTTCTTGGATACTTACTTTTCTGAACTAAATGATTGTTTGAAACGTCATGATATCAATATTGATGAAATATATGATTATAACACTTTCTTAAAAGCATGCAGTTATTATAAACTAAGTGTTATCTGTATGGTTCTTACTTATATTCAAGTTGTTTTTATACCCAAAGAAATAATGGTAGAAATTAATGGAAATGTTGAAAAAGCACGACAGTATTTGCAGGACGGTGATAGAGCTGATGTATTAGACAATGCAATGAAACATGATATTTTCGCCTCTAAAATTCAAGAAACAATGGAAGAATTTCTTGAAGAATTGAAGAAAAGCACTAGTTTGTGAATAATAATGATACTTTTTTGTAAATAGTTTTTAGTTCTGTAAATGTATTTTTTATTATTTTTACTATTTTTGTTTTTTGTTCCGTCTTCAAAACTAGTATAAACTGTCCTACAGAGTTGGGTAGTATTCGGATACTTCTGTATCCCGATACAGTATCCGGATACTTCATGTGTATCCGAAAGCTGTATCCGTGACCAAAATTGTAAGTATCCGGATACCGGATACTTTTTTTCTGCATCCGGATACTTTTAAATTATTTACCACAATCGTAACTGATCCAATCCATATTATCTTTATTAAAATATATAATCGAAATACTTTGAGCTACCCTGTATAATTAGAAATAAAATACATATTTTTCAATATTACAATATTTAAGACACAATTGCAATAGGTACCTACTTAAAAAATAAAAAATATAAAAATAAAAAATAGCAAAATAATGATTTGTAGTTTTGTTTCATGCACCCTGTAAAATTTAAAATAACGCAAAAAAAATCGCCAAGGATGTATTCGACGATTCACCCAGTATACAGACGGTCGGCACGTTTTTACAGGAAAAATCCCGCAAACTCTTGCCCGGTGTTAGCGTCACGAACTTGTGGAGGTTTCATTAGCCCAGTTATGTTTCAGTTGGCAAAGACAAGAGACTGTTGTTCCTGTGTTTCTATATAGTGCAATATAACTAAACTTTCTGTATCAGTTTTAGTGCCTAACTATACGCAAATGTAAGTAGGTGTAGGTACCTCGAATTTTTTGTTTTGTAAACTATCTAATTACATTATTAGTTCTTAAAATGTAGTCGAGAAAATATATGTATAACGTTGTTGCTCATAATGTTACTGATCATGTATTATTTATGTCGTCATCAACATCAATTAAGTATACAGATCTGACAAGATCAAATATACGAGCCTGCTTTTCCTATGCAAGAACGAAACATTCAGCAATCTCTCATTCCTCCTCCTTTCGACGCTTTCGACTCTACCAAGTACCGCTCGTCGGAGGATCCACAAAAAATGGATTGTCGAATACATCTGACACTGACGAGAACATCGAAAGGTTGTATAAACATGGCAAGTCGCGCCAACAACGAGCTTATTTCGTTAGATTTATATGGACACGACACTGGCTGGTTTTTGGCGCGGTTCAGGCGCGACTCGTTTTATTTATACGCACCTTTATGTTTTATTGCATTTTGTTTTAATGTTTTATATTCACAGAATAAAAATAATGAACAATTTATTGAGTAGTTTTTTTTTCTGTTTCTATTATATCGCTTTCCATTTTCGATAATTTATTTATGCCTAGTATTGTTTATTATTACTCGTAATCAATTTTATTGCATAATTATAATTATACACATGAAAACATTTAAACTCACTTTAAAAGTATCCGTAAAAGTATCCGAAAAAAGTATCCGGGTACTTGTATCCGAGTACTTTTTAAATGAAAGTATCCTAAAAAGTATCCGGATACATTATAAGTATCCGTATCCGGTACTTGGATACTTTTTTCCTGTATCCGACCCAACTCTGCTATCCTATTTAAAAAAAATACCAAATTTGACAGGTATCTAATTCAGTACCTAGCCAACTTTAATGTGGGCTATTTTAAGTGTTTCAAAAAGCAGAGGTGAATGCCCTACGACGTTTTTTTTAAATTGTAATATTTTTTCATTAATTTGTCTCATTATTACCCAAATTGGCAATAAGAAACACTTATGGAATCACTTCGGTGTCTCTCTGTGTGTCCCTCTGTCACAGTCGTCTTAATCAAAGACTATTTCCATGAATATTTGAAATAACTAAAAACGTAAATACTTTGTCTTTAATGTCAGTTGGGGTGTTAAATTGGATGTAATACATTAGTTTGTTTTACTTTTTCTTGTACATAGTACAGGATACTTAGCGGATGAAAAGCAATTTTTATTAAATAAAATATGTTAATAAATATACTGCAAATGAGTTGCCAATAAAAATACTGCCACGCCTATTTTTTGCTTTCTTTTCTGTATGAAGAGAAGGAAAGTATAAGAATTATGATAAAAGTTGCTTATCCTGTCATTGCCTAACAAGTTGTACACCATAAAATCTGACACAGAAAGTGTGTCCCAAAAAGTTTTATACAAATGGAAAAAAAATTATCTTACATTATACAAAAAAAATATCTTTCAAGAAGTTCTGCCTCACTTCATAATCGAGCATTAAATTTTATAAAAATTCAAAAATGTCTAATACAATTCTAAACATTATCATTAAATGGAATATACCGGGTGTTCAAATTAAAGTGTTACAGCTAAATACCGCCTTTTATAAAAAAAATGTTTCAGACGAAAGTTTTATAGTTTTGTGGGGAAAAAATTTTAGCTAAAATCGTTTTTTATAGCTAACCATAATATGGCCAAATTTTTTTTCGCCCAGCAAAATTTTCAAATAGCTGTTACTCAAAAAGTAAAAGTACAATAAAAAAAATATTTTCATCAAAAGTGTGGGATTCCCATTTAAAAAACAAAGTCCACCTCGATATGGCCATATTATGGTCAGCTATGAAAAATGAATTTAACCAAAATGTTTTCTCCAAAAAACTATAAAACTTTTGTCTGAAACTTTTTTTCTAAAATGTATATTTTCGGTATTTAACTGTAACACTTTAATTTAAACACCCGGTATAATGAATTAAGTAAATTTAAATCACGATGAATATACCCTTTTTTCGTTTGATATCGCAATTTTAAGTCTATAAAAGACTTCTTGCAGCTTCCATTTAAAAATAATTTTAAATAAATGACATGGAAAATAATTTTTCTTATAAATTACTATTTATGAAATCCCAATTACACATTTATTATTTGTTTCCATTTAATATAAGACACGTGTATTATAGTTAACTTTCGACTCTCTGGAAATCTGGTATGTTTAAATTTTAAGTTTCGATAAGTAATTGAAAATGTAAAATTGCTCGAGAGAGCTCGAGAGAGTTCGAGAGAAACTAGAAATTCTCGTGCAGAGATGACACTCTCTCGTCTTGTCTCGACTCCATTTTCGAGAGACAATGTATATCTCTTGTCTCGTCTCGACGAGACAAGAGCCGAGAATTTATCGTCTTTTGGCACCACTAGTCGTTGTATTGCCTAATTAAGCATTCCAAACAAAATGACTGTCACAGAAAGGATTGGTATATTTAAGGGGTTGCGTCATACGGTGTATTCTATCTACAACTCGTGAAATCGTGATTAATGGATTAAATTTAAATATTTTATATCGAACACAACGAAAATATTATTTTCATAACTTGGCAGGCTTGGCCACAACTATTTCGAATAAAAATAGCGTCCAACAGGGATGGCTATGTCGCAACCCCTTAGATGTACGAGCCCTTCCCACTGGCAGGTCGTTGGAATGCATAATAGTGAAATGTGCCAATAATCTAGAGCTACGTTGGATTTAAAAAGAAACTGAACGGCACTTTTATGCTTTGACGTATGTTATTAAACCGTCAGACCTACATTTTTACATCTACATGAAATTGAAAAGTATGATAATCAGTAATTTTAGTTATTAGGTTTCAAAACCATTCGCCAAAATGCTTGAAATTCGAACAATTTACACAATAATTATTAGCTTTGTTCATTTTCACGTTGGTAAATCAAAGCTGTCTGTTACTTATTTCATGTGATAGTGATGACGCTTTTAACAAAAAAAGATTAAAAAAAAGACCATACTACTTCCCGCTCTTGATATATCTTGAGAAAACACTATTTTTGGTACAAAATTTGCTTCACAAGTACCTAGTTACAGACAACATCTTTGACAAATGTATATAATACTGGTTGCCGACTAACATGAAATGAAATGAACAGTTATGAAGAGTCTGACTTGAATGCCTCTCGTATCTTCAGGCAAAATGTCCAGTGGCGTAGCGAGAAATTGTGGGCCGCCTGCAAGTATGGACCATTATTGGTCTCCTAACAAGTGATGATGATGACGATTATGATATTTTGGATGATAATGGATGAAATTATCTACATGGAACAAATTTTTATGTTAGAAAATATTTTAATTGAGCTAAATAACCCTCTTATTATACATAGACCATATTTTCTGTGTGAAGTGTAATATAAAATTATTATTAGGTTTATAATAGCCACATTAGACTCCATTAATGAAGAAGTTTAATTCTGCTCTCAATTATACAAAAGATTCTCCATTATTATTTAATTAAAAAGTTGTACATTATTTTTCATTTCATTCAACCAGTTGATATTTCCCCAAAGAACAGGTCAAACTTTCGGGTACTTAACTGGAAATACTCATAAAAATTTTAATCCGACACCCGCGTAAGTATAGCGAACAGACTATAAGTCCAACTCCTACACATCAAAACTAAGAACGTTCCGACCGACAGGGACCGTCCGCCGGTCGCGCTCGCAGGATAGCTATTCACTAAGTCATGGGAGCGCTCCCATGGAAGTCCGTATTTATCACAAAGCAAATTTGAACTGCTTAAATAGTAGATCAAAGTTATTCTGTCGACTTGGCAACGTTTGCATGGAAGTATGGGAGCATGGGAGTGTGGGAGTGCTTCCATGAGTTAGAGAATAGGTATCCAAGCCGGAGCCGAGCGCGCAAAAATATGATTTTGGCCCGTTTAAGAAATATCGCTGACTCGATACTATAATCGTCACATAAAAAGTTTTTATTCTAAAAACTTTTTTTGACTATTGGCTTCAATTTGTTCGCAGCATATATGTACAAATTTTTGGAAATAAACTTTTTTTCTCGATTGCTTAAAATTACACTACTGAAAATAACAAGTTTGAGTTTGCTGTTGTTTTAACAAATTAACAATTTTTTAAGGGATACTCGTATAAGTTATTGTTCAAAGCGCTATTGTGTCTACTTTAATATGTATAAAAAATTACCTCGATAGCACGATTATTTTCCGAGATATAGCGGTGGAGACGTTAAAAAACATGTTTTATAAAAAATCCCCCTCCCTAGCTACGCCAATGTATTCACAGCCAGCAATATCAATTAAAAACATCTAAATAGTTTCTCTATACAATTATTTTCTTATTTAATAGAAATATATTGAGTGAAAAATATAAAATTTATAAAACCAGTTACTAAATGCCTTTTTTTATGTAACGAGTAAATATTTGCGGGATGAACAGGGCGAAATTCCGCAAAATGAACGGCATAACGTGCTACATACCATTTTTTTTAATTTTGATTATTTATAAAATTGAGTGTTGGTATCTAGGCAAGCAATATTACTGCTTTCTTGTATTATTAGTTGCATATGAATCTCGTCATTCCTTTATTGACAAATAGAAAACTATATTCATTTATGTGGTTAATTTTGTCGTGAATTGTGTTTTAATTATTTTGTGCTGATTTAAAATGGAAATTAAGGACCAAAACAACATTATTACTAGGTTACAAGTTTAACCAAATTATATTTTTATAAGTCAACATGCCCTCCTTTGATCTATACTTTTAATAATAATGCGTATTATTGATTTTAAAATCAAAAAAGGTATATTTTTATTTGTTTTCTTTTAGCAATTTTTTAAAACCAGTTTCTTAATGTTCAATATTATGCAACTGGTTGGTAAAATACATAATTTTGACACTATGACATTATTATACAATAACTATTACGACTAATTATTTATAGTCGAATAAATAAATAAAAATAAATAATAAAAATCAGTGGGTGTATAATCCCAGTATATATACCAATCAGTATTGGCACTCTGAGGCGGCACGTTTGATCTTTAAAAGTAGAAATTTTAGTTGACACTTGACGTTTTCGGGATATGAAAAGTTTTCTTTACACGGACTTGGTATACCTGGTTAGTTGAATTTTTGTTCTGCTGCTTTTCAAATTCGTGTGTATGAGGGAGATGTGAGATACCTTTATAGACAACGGTTGAACAACGTAATTACTTTGAAGAAGAAAATAGATTAGATATCAGGGCAGTCTTCGCAAATGTAAGAAAGACAGAACCGTTTTAAATTTTTTTATATATGTGAAATATTACTTTTTGGTGAAAAGTTTAATTACTTTTAGTTCAAAATATAACGTTAGTTTGTCAAGGGAAATATATAACACACAAGGTTAGAGGTATTGCTTTATTTCTTAAGAATTACTCTAATCTAAAACTTTTCTAGTATATTGTAAAAATTTATTCTATACGTTATTTAGGTACTGCAAAATCTATAGGAAAGTATGTAGTTTTAAATTTAAAAATTTTTAACGGAGACATATTTAGTGTAGTTTTTTTTTACAAATATATACTCAGTGACTTGTTTTTGTGAATGAGTTCAAGTATGGCAGACTAAAATCGTTATTTTTTATTATGAATTAATTTGAATTTATTTTTAAATGGGAACTATATGTATATGGTTTTCGTAGTTTTTACACTTGTGATAAAAATATCAAAGTTATGTATATTGGCCATTTACTACACACAGCAAATTCATAGACACAATACATATTACTATTTGACATTCTTGTAAAACCACTAATTTAAAATTGCCTTTAAACTAAAATATTTTTTGTACTTTTTCAATATGATCAATTTGTGTGGCTTCCAAGGGCATCCATATTTGTGAAACATACTCAAGATGGAGTCTTACTAAGGCATTATATAATCTGATTTTGGTGGTAATCCTATTTTTTTTTGTATTTCTGATTTAAAAACCAAATGCTTTTATTGCTTTTTTAGTTATGTGTAAAAAATGGTTATTGAACTTCAAATTAGACTGAAAGACAACTCCCAAATCGTTTACCTCATATTCACGATTTAATGTGACATCACAGGTCTTATTTCTAATGTAAAACATTAAGAGGCTATGTATCCTTACAACTTAAAATATGCATACGTTTGTAAGTGTTAAATAGACGAATAAAAAGTGTTGATTTTTATTTACAACTATAATTAAATAATTAAAATAATTAATAATTAAAACCCATTAAAAAGATTAAGAGCAATAGAACATTTCAACAAATTTCTATAGGTACACATATTTTTGATACCTGATAATCAAAAAATAATATATTTTTTGGAGTAGCAACAAGTTTATTAATACACAACTATTATTTTGTTACAAATACTTATAATATTTATAATTAACATAATAGTTGATATAAGTCCTTTAAAAATAATATATTTTGATTTAATTGTTGAATTTATACATGAGCAATTTTCCTAGTAGCGTTGTTTACATTTTGCAGAGAAATATTGTATTCTGCTTTTAGCTGATAAATCACGTATGTAAATGGGTTGAATGTAGACAATGTTAATGTTTTTGCTACTACTGCTGGCTAGGAATGCTGGGCTGGGACACCAACAAATAAAAAGGAAGCACAAAGCACTAGATGTTTTCATCACTTATACACGTACAATTTACAACCATTCAAGTAACTAGCATGTTGGAAATACTCACGAAAACATATTAAACATAAATCAATCGAAGGCAATGTATTTTCTTTTTATAACACACCTTTTTAGCTTGATTACTTTTAGTACTCTATTTATTCCAATGTCCTCAAATAAAACGAGAATAATAAGGATAAAACACACACTGAAGTGTATTTGGGGTATTTTCGATCTAAATCCACTATCAAAATAACAAATTTTCCGTTTTTAAGCTGTGAATGTATTACAAAAACTACTTTGATAAAATGTAAACAAAAGTTTATATTTGTGTACGAAATATGGGTTGCCTGCGCATGGTAGCGAGTTTTTAACCGGATTTATGACAAGTGATAGGTTATATCCCGAAAACGTCAGCGCAGTAAAAGCTGCGCGTCTTTTTCCCGCCCAGGGAGTGTCATGGGCCTGGTATAATATTCTCAAATAATGTTGCCCTGGTTCCCTTGACAAATTACTGCATACGCCCATGAAAAAGCCCTAATAATTTTACATGAATAAGCTTAAGCCAGATGTGTTTACTAAATTGAGTAAAACAATAATTAATCAAAAAGGTCACATGGAATGGTTCTTAAAAACCATGTGAAAATCATCTAGGTTGTTTATTTTAAATAACGTCAATGCTTCACATACTTTAAAATTCAACGTCTCGATAATTCTTATCGTCTTATGTTCAAAATCAAATCGTTTCTTGTTTCTTCTATGCCACGAGTTTTTCTTAGTCTGGAGGGAACAGATAATTTATTGTTTCTCGAATTTAAATTGTATTGACTATGAAATTGAGAACATGGTAGAAAATGTCCCCATTTTTTCAACAAAGAAAAAAGATATATAAGTTAATCACAATACCAGAAATTAACTACACATGTATCAAAAATATATTTATTTTTAAAAATAATTATAAATAAATCGGAAATGTATTCAGCTTTTATAATTTTCACAAAAGGCCTTCAGATCGTCTAAAGATTCTTGTATCCGGTGTTCGTAAAAAGCATCCTTATCTTTATGCGCTTTAACTAAATGAATCCTGTTATCAAATAAAGCTTTTTCATTAAGTTCCTTATTCGAAAAATATTCTTCTATTTCATTGTTATTTATCAAAATTAAAGGAAAATATATTGCTGCCAAAACGATTGCAAATACTTTTAGTTCTTCACAGCTTTGCATAAAATTGTCAAATGGTAAAATGTGGTTGATATCAAAGCCGAAATGCTTTACATTTTTTTCAAGGTAACTATAGTACATGCCTAATACTTCATACATGTATTTTTTCCTGAACTCTTTCGATGTTGTTAGATATAAAAATGATAGAACATCTTGAGCCGGAGGTACGTATCGTCCACACTGAAAATCAACTAATTTGCAAGCAATCGGTTTTTTAGTTTTTGTATCATGCTTTAATAAAATATTAGTAGCCCAAATGTCTCCATGGCTTAACACATTTTTATATTTTTCGGATGGTTTCACTAAATCGTAAATTTTATAGCATACTTCTTCTGCCACATCTACAAAGTTTCTACCAGATTTTAATGTTTTTGGCTGATCAAAAAGTTCGATTTCATCTATTATGCATTTTACAGAGGCCTCAACTCCTTGCTGGTTTGCTTTACTGAAAAAGGATTCTTCTAAATCATTAGAATATAAATCTTGTAGTTTCTTATTTGCTTTATTTTCAAAAATAATACTGCTAGCATGCAGTTGCGCTATAGATTGTAAAACAATCAAGACAGTATCATAATCCAAAGTTGTGTGCTTGTCACTAGATTTATAACCCTCATTGAAAAGATTATCTAATATTAAATACTCGTTATATGAAGTCGCATAGCACTGTGGAATGACATTATTGATTAGGGACACTTCTTCTTTGGTAAATTCTTTAAATAGTTTATATACGAACACTTCTTTTTTAAATGCTCCTATTTTTTGTGCAAACTCAGCGAGTGCTTCAATTTTCGGAAAATGTTTTACGAAAAATGTTAAATGCTCTTTTGTACCTTGAGCGTTTAAATAAGCAACATTAAGGAAACTGTAATCACCTAATAATCCTATTCGTTCAATTATTGGTTCCAATTTGTAAGTTAATAAGCAGAAATGGTTAGTTCCAAGTTTCTTTTCAATTGCCCTTAAAACGTGCGTTTCTTGAATGTCTTCAATAATACTTTGTTGTTTGTATAAAAAATGATAATTTTTTATTTTATCTTTTTCAGTGTTGTTGGAGTTGCTACAATTATTGTTTTTGTTTGCAACTATTTTTTCATTAGAATCTTTTTCTTTTGAGTCATCCATTTTGGTTAATCTGAAACAAATAAAAATATAAAAATACTAATCAAATATTTATATTTACATTAATAAAAATTTTAAAAAAACTGTACGTGTGATCTGTTTACTGCAAATATTTAACAATAAAATAATTACAAAAGGACGAGGCACTGATTACATGTAGTTGTTATATTTTGATATTTTGAAGATAATGATATTTGAGTGAAAATTGTAAAATATTAGGAGGGTCATAATATGTATATGATAGAAAATTCATCCGTTATAACACCAAAAAAAAATTTTGCTCATAACACGAAAAGTATTTGACAGTTTCTGACGTTTGCCAGGTAATTTAATACTCTAAAAGGCTGTGTAATTAATATTATACATTTAATCCAGTTAAAATGTTTAAGAGGAAATGATAATCGCAAATATGCCAGGGAAAAGGAAACGCCATACTTTCCTTAAAATCACAGAAACAGTAACACTAATAATATAATCAAAAACTTAAACATTAGTGGGGGCATTTTTAAATGTCAAAAGCAAAGCCTGCTTAGATAAAGTTCTGTCTTAGTAATACTTATTCATTTAACCTACATCGATATTTTAGCTTTTTTCAAGTCGCCAATGTGTTTAGTGTATTTTTTGGTACTTACTGTACCCTATTTATTTCACCAAGGTAACATTTGTGTTAATAAAGTTTTTATGACTATTTTTAATATCAGTGGCATATGTCACTTAAATAACGATCGGAGTAAATGTAAGTTTACTGAATTTGATGGCTATGTTGGATGCGAAGGTGTCTACACAAAATGGTTTCACTACTCTTGTGTTAGTCTAACAAATAGAGTTTTCAATGCTTTCAAAAAGTGAAAATTTATATTTTCTGAGTGAACTCTGTAGACGAAAATACAGCATTGTTCAAAAACAATCCATGTCCGACCACAATAATAATGTCATTCTTCAGATAAATTCATATTTTTCCTAATTTTAATAAATTATTTAAATAACATCCTGTACATACAACTTTGTTTGATTATGTCGACAATTTGTTTTAAATTGTAATCATGTGCAAGGTTTTGAGAACACTGTGTTTTCTTCAGCCCCTTTTCAGGGACGTGCTAGCTTCTAACATCAAGAGAAGAACCCTTATACAATTAAGGGCTACGAAGCAAAGTTTAAGGCTAAGTAGTGTTTACATGATTGAGGTCTGAATTTATATATTGTGCTTGATAACCTCCGGGACACAGATAGTCCCATAATTATTAATGAGCACCTAAATCGTGACATTTTTTTTATTAAAGACTACTTAACGTGACAATAGTCTGAAATCGATTGATGAACGTTTACCTTACATTTGCAAAAAAGACTCAACGACTGGTTTTCCAATTCAAACACTGATCTTGGTAATTTAGTGTCGTAATTGAAAGCAATTGTTAAGCAACCTTCTTATGTAATTATGCCTAAGACCAACTGATGAAAGGGGTACCAGTAGTCCTATATCAGTGGATAAAAGCCAGCCTAGAAAAAAGGGTAATAACATCATCTCTAGGCGATTGGTTCGAATAAGGTAATATCAATTAATATAGGGTATTTATTAATTGAGTGCCAATACTTAAGGGTGTGAATCCTTGGGTGTTAAAGTTTTAAGAAAAAAATAACTATTCTATCATACATTTCTTATCACTAGATATTTTTATGAAATTTTGCAAAAAAAAGTGTTTCCACTCATGGTGGGTTCCTACCAAATTTCAACAAAATATCAAAAGCAGTTTCAGTAAAATGGTTTTTATTTTCTTACGCGAAAAGGGTGCGTCGTACGAAAGTACGACTATAAACCAAATTTGCTCCAAAATAAATAAGGATTTTAAAGATAAATTTTGGTTTTTAGAAAAAGTAGTGGCGTACCATATTTTTGTTCAAAAATATTCAGTTCAAACCCGGTACGGACGTCACTGGTAAAAATTTAGAAGTCTTTTACGACAAAAAGGCGGGATTGAAAGTTTAGTCTGTTGGTACATAATATACTATATTTATATACCTAATTTTTATTATTACACTGAATGTGACATGGCTTCTTTGTTTGTCTTTTTTTGGATTAACAAAATATTATTTTAATGATTTAAAATAAACTGACAGTAATAATAATTATCTGTACTTAAACATAATACAAAGTGAAATCATAAAATGACGCATCAAGAAAACACCAAAATATTAAACTTTTAATTTACGTCCATCTTAACCAAATTTATAAGGGACCACCCCTGAGGTACCCCCTTACTAACGAAAAGAATTATAGAAAACGGACAAGGTGGTAAAGAATTATCGCTAAACATACATAAAAAATTTAAAAGTTTGAGGATTTTCTCATGGACCCCATTATTAGATTTTGACCAAATTTATATGGGACCATCCCGGAGGTACCCTCTTTCCAGCAAAAAAGAATCATTTAAATCGGACATTGTGTTAAAGAATTATCGCTGAACATACATAAAAAAATATATACAGATGAATTGAGAACCTCCTCCTTTTTGAAGTAGGTTAAAAAGGATATAATAATCTATATTAATTGTATTAACTAAAAAACTACTATGTGGAGTTATATACATCTTCTTAAATTAATCTTATATGTAAAAATGTGGGTTCGGTTCCTAGAAGAGTACCTAGTTCAGTGTGCAGCCAAATTTATATTTATGATACAGAATTTTTTAAATAAATAAAGTTTTAGGTTTAATTAAACACCAAGTTTTATCAGAAATAACATTTTCTGAAAAAAGTAACATATAAAACATATTATTTTAGAAATATAAATAAAATTTTTGTATAATCACATAAATGTGATTTATCTTTTAGAATGTTGTATATGTTTGTCAAAGTTTACAATTGTTTTTTTTTTAAAGAAATATTCTTAAAATTTTTTTTTAAATTTTTTAACACTGTACAAAATACCTCAATCCGTTTATAGTTATCCATTTTAAACAAGACGGAGACCGGACATCGTAGAAGAGAAACAGCGAAATTAGTAAAGAATTTTAACTTGATTAAAAAGCGTTCTTTCTCTTTCCATTTCCTATAAAAACTAATAGACCTTTTTGAAATCGGTATTCGGTGACTTTTCTTCCGTTTTATTGCCTTGAAAATGATATGATTTACATAAAAAACAGAAACTAACTTATTATTTTTGTGAAATAAAAATATGTTGTTATTCTCACAATTTTTGACTACTCTTTGTTTCCAAAAAAGAAATACGATGTTCTTCTGTAGATATTAACACTCTTTAATTGGCTTTAGTATCATTTTATATGTCAAAGTTAAAAAAATATTTAAAAATCATAACACCACTTGAATGAAGAACATGAAAATTATAGTGTTATTAAAAAAAGACCAATAAATTTATAATTATCCTTTAACACAAATAGATAGATTGGTTTTATTTACAAAGGTTTGTTAACATTGTATAAAGACACAATACGAATAAAGAATGTAGTAATACTTTGTATTATTTAATGTTTATTTAAAGAATATTATTCTTATCTTTTAACAGGCATTTACTTGTTTAGTTTATTAAATATAAATAAATAAATAAATAGTTATCACATAGGCATTTGTAACGACTTATCACATTAAGATGACTATTTATTTTGTAATTAAATAATTTAAAAAAACTTGCCATGTTGGTTTTGCATTCTATACACTATACCTGCACCCGGCCTTATTTTTTTAAAACTACCGTACTAGTTCTGTTTTACCCATCTATCCTGTCAGATATATCTGTTACATACTAACTGTACAGGGTAAATGGTAACGAGATTGCAGATATGAAAGGGGCTTAAACACCCTTTGTGGAACCTGAGCCGATCTGCGGTATCAGCAGTAATATTAGGTGAAATTATAAAAGAATTGGGCAGTAAAAGAGCCGATAATTAAAACAATCTCTTGGGGCTAAGACATGTTAAGACACTTCTTGGTGAGTATAACTAGAAAAGATCGGAAGCTTGTATCTGGCTGAGCAAGAACAGGCCACTCATTTTAACAGGGATATTTACTGGACGTTGCCGACTCAAAGGACACTACAGTAAACTGAGAGTAGTAGAAGACAGTAACTGCAGATTCTGTGAGGAGGAGAACGAAAGATCCATTCACATTCCACATTCCAAGGGCACCATACTTAGGAGCATATCAAATAGAAGATGGAGATTTGGCTAACTTGAAGCCACTCCAAATCTTACACTTCCTTGAAAAGATAGGATTGGAAGGGTCGTTATAGGCATCAAGACATGTCCTTCCTGCTTTAGCGACAGAAGGGAGTACAATAGATATTTTAGGTCGCAGTGTATTAACACCCCATTCCCAACATACTAACTGTAATCCAAATAAAAGTTTACACTAACGATTTATGATCACATTCTGAACTAAACTCGAAATAAAAAAATTATTAAAAACTGTAACAGTTTGATTATTATTTGATGTTTTAGATAATTTACCAAAATTGATGTGGTGAGGCAACCGTTATAAAACAAAATAATAAAAAATTTCAATGCGTCCAAAACACAAAAAAAACGCTTCTCTGAATTAATAACAATATAATTTAAATGTATTGTAGATGTAGATAAAAGGAAATTTTCTGGATTGATGACATTAATTTTGAAAATATTCCCAGGCTAAAGTAAAAATTGTAATCCAATTTTCAGTAATTTGTGATTCTCCCTATGATCTAAATTATTATTAGTATCATAGTAATACTAAAAATATGGTTTCATATCACTAAAGGATTGTTCTTGGAAAATATATGTAATCAAATTACTTTGTATAGAAGTGCATCCTTTTTAAAAAATCTGATGTGTCCAACACATGACTTTCCTATCTAGTTATTACAGGCTTTTTTCGGTAATTTTGTACAATCTATTGTAGCAACTCTGTAAATATTTAGAGGTTAACTGAATATATACATTTTCCACATACATCTAACTCGAAACATTTTTTCTATATATACACTCATTGCCAACGAAAATGCTGAAAAATTAAAATTTTTCCATTACGGTTTATCTTAGAGAAATCATGTAAAAAAAATTTATAGAGCTCGATATCGCAATTATCTTTTAGTTCAACAATGTTCTTAAAAATCAGATTTTTTTACACTTTGAAAAATTTCTCGAATACGGATCTTTTTAGGAAAATTAGTTATAGAACAAAAATTATAGATAATAATAAAAGAAGTAACTTTTATTTAAGGAATTTTCTTCTCCAAACGTAAATAACAGATATATTTCATAAAATATAAAAATGACCCCCTATAAAGTACCCCCTAAATGTTCCGACTGTGTCCAAAATCTAATCAGTTCACCTCCGGTCAGAATAAAGCATAAGTTTAAAATTTAAGGTTTTTTCTTTATCCGTTTTTGAGTTTTCTTCAAAATTCAAAATATACACTTTTTCACAAATATCTCGAATACGATCCATTTTAGAGAAATTACATATAACACAAAAATTATAGAGAATTATATCACAAACAACTTTTATCTAAACAATTTTCATAAAATTTTGATTTTCTTACATTTTATCAAAATTCTCGAATACGGACCATTTTAGAAAATTTTTGTAAGAAACAAAAATTATAGAAAATAATATAAAAAATAACTTTTATTTTAAGAATTTTCTTCTCTAAACGTAAATAACAGATATATTTTATAAAATATAAAAATTAGCCCCTATGAAGTACCCCTCAGATGTTCCGACTCTGCCCAAAATCTAATCAGTTCACGGCAGACCGGAATAAAGTTTATGTTTAAAACTTGGTGTTTTTCTTTGTATCCGGTCATGAGTTATCGTGGATACAGACACACACACGCACTCACACACATACAGACACACATACAGGCACACACATACAGACACACATATAGACACACACACAGACATCATCGCGAAAATAGTCAAAACGGATTCAGGGGACCCTAAAACGTAAAAATCCGTCGAAAATTCGAGGTCGAAAAAATCATGATTCCTCTACTTTCTGTATACAGATAGGAAAATAAAAATTGTTACAATTGCTAATTTGCAATTCTGTACCGCAGTGGTAGGAAAAACGACTCTTTTTACCTCTTTGGTAATGAAAACATAAGCTATAAGTATTTTAATGAAAGTATTATATTCACTTAATACAAAACTGGTGATAAGATTTATTAATGTAAAGAATTACAATGCGGTTTCAACCAATTATTGAGAATAAGCTTAAACGATATAGGATCATAATTTTCTACTTATTAAAATTAAACTAACCAAACAATATAAGCATGTAAAACATTTAGCGTCGTACGTTAGGTTAACAAATTTGACCCCTCCTGGAAAATTTTCTAGAGGCGTACATGTAAAAATATTATATTTCAACATTTTTCTTAATATAGCTTAAAATTAATGATATTCTATAATCTCAAAAAAAAGCCCTTTAAAATGACACACTGCTTGTCCAGGTCAAATTCCATATTTTTTAAACCTTTATAAATAATAATCCAGATTTGAATAAGGATAATTTCCTGACCGTAGCAGAATTTTATATAAATAAAAATTTCCTTGGTTTATTCTGTCATATTTTTATTTTTTTCAAATATACCTTCACACGCTGAAAGAGAAAGATGGGGTCTCTGTTATTTTAAAAAAAAATTAAACTGTTTGTAATCGTCCCCCTTGTTTTATTAAATTTTCACTGCACCCGAAGATAGAAATTTTTTCGAAACATATGCAGTGCTGTGATAAACGATAGAAAATAAAAACATGACCGAATAAACCAAGGAAATTTTTATTTATATAATAATTCAGATATTTTAGTTATATTTCCTTACTTCTAAATTTAAATGAAAAGGTTAATAAATTATAATTAATAGAAATGATTTATAGATTACATTATTATTTTAATAAAATAAAACGATTATTTATTTTATAAAACTTACCGTCAATGTCCAGGTTTCAGTTCTTTGTATATGTTTGTAGCTATTAATTCACTAAATAATAACACACGGATTTACTGTATCCATTAATCTTGTATTATACTCGCCAACTATTGTTTAACATTACCAAAACGAGGTTATTATTATGAGTCTTATCAAAAACTAATATTTATTAATAAAACAAAATGCGCATAAGATAAAGTCATCTGATTTTAGTAAAATCTTACCCATTTTAGGGAGACTGGTTAAACAAACGATAAAAAATGTTTTAATTTATGTACACAGTGAGGTAACTGATGCAGAAACGATGTTAACAATTTCAAGGCTGGGCCGAATTAATTTATTATTTAGTCCGGTCGATCATCAAATTTTGTTGTGTTAGTCTGCACTAGGTCAGAGGAGTGCAGTAATAAAAAGCAATATATGGGTTTCTTCGTATTAGAACGTATAAGTTTAGTAAAAAGAAAATACCAAAAATTATAATACGTAAAAATAATTTTTTAACTTAAATGCTCTCATAAACGTTTGAACATATATAGTCTGGGAAAAAACAAAGTCCATTCGCTTTCTTCACAATACTAGATTTTGGCACGTCGTAGATTAATTACATCACGTTATTATGTCAGGTGGAAGTTATCAAAATAATTTTGAATTTGTCAATTTGTTAAAAATTTGTATATTTTGATATTTCAAATGTTTTTATAAGTATTTAACAAAATAGTGAAATGATTTAGTGAATAGAGAGTTATTGCAAATTTCTGACGTCAGCTACTAATAGTGATTAGAGGCAAATAAATGGCATGTTAAAATAAACCTGAAATTTTGACATTAGAGTCCTTGTCCTTATACATATTTCTAACCTCATTTTAAGAATTTTAAATTACAGTATATTTTGTTGTTGTTTATAATAGTACATAATATAGAAGAGGCATTAGAAATTACCATTTTAGAAGGTTCAGATGACAATGCCCAGCTAGCACAAAAACATCCCATCTACGTTAATAAGCTGCAATATTAGGCTCTTTAAGCTCCCATGCGATGTACTTTTATTAGGTTTGTTTTGATTCACGTTCTAGAATTGTTCCAGAACCATGCGCAGAACAGTTGCGCAATGGTCCTTAATTCTGAATAGTTATGTAACATTTTTTCCAATTTAAAAATGTAAAAGATAAATTTTTCACTGGGAGATTTTAAATTGCCAAACACCTTTTCTTCAGAGTCGTATGCTTTAAAATGCGTTAACAAGTTAGAATTGTTAAGTAAATTGCATTCTTCTGAGAAATTTACGCAAATTTCGCAAGAGTGGATATGTAATGATTTTTTGATTAAATAGCCACATAGTTAAATACATTTTGAGTGGTCACATTTAGCTCCCTATAATCACATTCAGAAATCGTTATTGCCCTAACTGATTGTTTTGAAATATATTTAATTTTCATTAAGTGGAGAACTTATTTTCCTAAGGGAAAAACGAATCCCGGGATTCCTTTCCAGTGTGTACCCCACTAGCGCTAGTGCCCACGAGCCGCCACTGACTCACTCACAAAAATACGGTAGAACTTACATCTAAAGGCGGGTACAGATCTGAGCACGTACGCGTATGAGGCAAGCCGAGGCCAAACGGAATGCCTCGTGCGACGCATTTTGTTCACACCAATAGTGGACGCACGAGGCGCTGTTCACTACTGATCCAGTGAATTCGCGAATACGGAACCATACACCCAGAACACTCGTGTAATTAAATAAAAAATGGAGGATGTGAATGACGTCTGAGAATTGAGTGCCTTTTTTTATTATTTTATTTTGTTCTCCAAAAGATATCTCGCTGATTATATAAATCCAGGAGAAGTAAAACGTTTTCCTGACTCCACTTCATGCAAAATAAACCTTGAAAACTCGCTATAATCTGTTCGGACACATTCCCCGTCCAGACTGAGCACGTACTGAGCATTGCCTCCCTTTGATGTACCGCCAACAAACGGTTCAGGGCGAGGCCGTACGGCGCACAGAACGAAGCAATTGCCGCGCCTCGGAAGCCCGTCCACATCTGTATACTCATGCGTCCTCGTCTTGCCTCATACGCGTACGTGCTCAGATCTGTACCCGCCTTGTACCATCCAATCCTAAAACCATATGACATATGTATGTGCCAGACATGCCCAGAAACTGACGCCAAAACACATCTGACCCCACTATACCGCCCGATAGTTATTAGCATTTAATCATTGAAGGATCATTGTCACACATTTGTGATATCAGTTCCTGGAAAAAACTGCTTGTCACATATATGTGACGCGTGGTCGTCAACGTGTTAAAGTTAGTGTGGTTTTATCTTATACTTAATACTTTTAATGCGCACGATTCCCCATTACCTAAAATTTAATATGAATTAGTTTGGATGTGGCGATGTGGTGTTCACTGGTAGATATTTTTTCCACCAGCTATTTAGCAGGAGCGAATTACAGTAAGCCAGGTAAATAAGGTGGTTTAATTGATACTGGTACACACTGCACCAATAGCGAACGAAAGAATCGTATATGTATGTTATACATACTCATGGTATACAAAATAAAATACATACCATCCTTCTGAAGTTCACCATAGTTTTTAAATTTTAATATCTCTCGTAAGCCACAGTGCGGCATATTAAAAAGCTAAATTGTAGACTTTTCTACATTCTTTGGTCCTCCTCAGTTCCATCATTAAGTATCTTCTATTACTCTTATTAGACTAAAAACTATCTTCTCCATATCGTCTCCTGCCAAATATCACCCAAATAAGCCAAATATCATCACATCGAATGGCATGTCAGCTGTCAAAGTCACTACACTATTCTCATATTCCGATAGTTTGCGTTTAGTGCGTTCTGAGTTTATTCTCACTTTCTTCTTTTTCATATCAATAAACAAGGACACAAATATACTCCATGCGTACCTACCTTCATTCATAGTTTAAAAATATATCTAAATGTTACTAAAAACTCTCGAATATAAACTAAAATTTACAAAATTATAATAAATTTTCCACATACTTATCGAAATAAGTTATTTGTAAGCCGCACCTAATTCTGCTAAAAAAACTTGAGAATATTGGAATTAGAGGAGCTGAATGGAAACTATTTGATTCATACCTCAATAGTCGAACACAACAAACAAAAATCGGTAACAATGTAAGCTGTAAGAAAAAAGTAGAATTGGGTCTGCCTCACGGCACGGTCCTTACACCTCTATTATTTTCTTTTTAGATTAACTACCTTACAAAGATATTGCCAGAAAAAAATGGCTTCATTATCTGTTATGCAGATGACTCAGTTATATTAATTAAAGCTAAAACATGGAGAGATACATATCGACTAGCAGAAAAATATATAACATTAGTTAAATTCTGGATGGATCAAAACCTTCTAACCCTAAATGAAAGCAAAACATATTTTGTACCATTTTCAATAAGTAATAATAATATTCATATCCAACCTGATATTAAAATACATACATACCAATGCTTAAATAAGGATACAATATGCAACTGCACAGAAACTATAAACTCAGCATCAAATATAAAATATCTAGGTGTTTATATTGACCAAAATCTTAAATGTGATATTCATGTTCAATACATAACTAAGAAAATTAGGAAAACAATATATAAGTTTTACCAAGTAAGGGAATTTATGTTCATAAAGTGCTTAAAGAACAATTGCTATATCCATACCATAAGAAGCCAGTACAAGAATTATTAGTCCATGATCCTCAAATTCGTTTGGGTTTTTGTCGATTTGTTAATATGCAAAGAGAAAGAGATCCAAACTTTGTTAAGAAGGTTCTCTTTACCGATGAAGCGGGTTTTACAAGAAGAGGTATAACTAATACCCATAATAAACATGTTTATGCCGTTGAAAATCCGTATGCAATAAAGGTAAACCATTTTCAGCACGAATTCAAAATTAATGTGTGGGCGGGAATAATTGGTAATTTCATTGTTGGTCCTGTCATACTTCCACGAAGATTAACTGTAGAAAATTATTTGGATTTTCTACAAAATACGTTGCCAGAATTGTTAGAAGATTTACCTCTCCAACTTCGGAGAGATATGTGGTTTATGCAAGATGGAGCTCCACCACATTTTTCTTTAAACGTTAGAAACCACTTGAATGAACAATATCCGCACAAATGGATAGGCAGAGGTAATGACGCACCTGTAAACTGGCCACCACGTTTCCCAGATCTAACACCGATGGATTACTTTTTATGGGGACATCTGAAATCCACAGTTTACAGGGAACCTGTAGAAAATGAGGAACAACTCTGGCAACGTATTCAAGAAGCAATAAACAATCTTAGAGGTGATGAAGAAGTTATGGAAAGGATACATTTTAATTTTTTTCGACGTATAAATCTTTGTATGCATGAAAATGGTGAACATTTTGAACAATTTTTGTAAAATCTCTATTTTGATTATGTTGTAAATAAATATTTTTGTGAAACCTATACACTCTAAATTATTAAAACAGAAATTTAGCGAAAACCATGAGGTAATCGAGTCTTATCACGAGTACCTTTTTTAAAGTAAATGAGTTACGCAATCTAAATTTCATACTCAAACTCATTTTCTTCCATTGGCGTAGAATTTTTAAAGGTGCAATTATTTAAAAAATCAATTTCTACGCCTATGTATTATTATCGGACAAAATTTTACTACCATTTTTTTTGCCACATAAAACTCTACCAATATATCAAATTTTAGCAAAATGTCATATGCCGTTTTAAATTTATATGGGAAAAACGATTTAAAAATTGTAACTTCAAGGCCCTCTGGAGCCCAAACGAAGCAACTTTGTACTAAGGTAATTTTACTTAAATCGACTAATTTTGGTCTAAGGAATATGTGGTATGTTTTTGTAAAGACCTTTTACAGACACCCTGTATAATTATTAGAAAATTATTTTGTATTTTATGTATTATTATGTTAAATTGATAGGTAAGTATCCCAATGACTGTGGATGTACTCTCGACAAGTCACTCGTGACTTAGAGAATCCATTCCAAACAATGTTCTGTTAATGTACTACTTAAATTATGTAAAATAAACGAATTTGAATTTGAATCTTGCAGCAAGTGTCTGCAACTTTTCATTTTTAAATTGGATATAAATTTGTGTTATTGAACTTATATAAAGTTTTCAAAAATTAATTTACGCTAATTTTATTTTACAAATAAGCAAAAATTAGAATGTTTCGACTTTAAAAATATTAATTTTCTCTTAAAACTTACTAAAAATTTCCGATTATAAATAAATATTTGTAAACCTATGATAAATTTTCCATACACATACGAAATAAGATTTATTTTCAAGCTAAAAATAAACTTGGAGGAAGTTTCTATGTTTAGTGGATGAGTCAAAAGAGCTGATATCAGTATCAAGATGAAAAGGGGTTGCTTTCATAAACGAAATCGTCTAAAATGTTAGATATTCCATTTAAACCAAATATTCATATCTTATTAAAGTTCTTCTTAGCAAACCAAACTCAGTATCAAATGTATATAATTTTTTCTAAAATTTCGTCTTTGTCTTCATCTGAATTTATTTTGCAAATTGCAGAAATTATGCCAATCGCGTAAAATTTTTAAGCGCTCATTCTTGTGGTATTAATTTAAACTGTAATTTAGGTTAACTAAACGTAGTTTATATCGGTGGAAACAAAATTATATTTAAATCAGAGATTATTAATTAAAACTTCGTTTAGCACAACGGTGGAAACGGCACTTATTTATAGAACTTTCATAAGTATTCCCAATTATTATTCAGGTCATACAGATCCCTAGAAGTTATGCCTCTGCTTCGATAATGGGTTCACTGTTAATACCAAAGGAATTGCTAAAAAAATTTAAATTAAATTGCCAAGCTTAAGCTTGACATATCCATGACCTTCATAATTTTTTAACAAATAAGTAAGCTTTCTTAAAATTGGCCCCATAAAACAATTTTTGACATTAATAATGCAAATGCATGTATTTCTCAATAATTAATATTGTCGAATTTCGACCACTGGGTGAACACTGGTAATAATAATTAGACAATCAAAACTGAAACAGGATAATGTACCTAAATCATCAATTTTGTTAATATTCTTATTACATGATTAGCTTGGATAAAGGAATGAAAACTTGACCTACTTATTCAATATAAGTATATTGTATAATTTAGTTTAAAGTTATAAATTACACACAGTTATACAACAATCTTGCAATCTACAGACGAAACAACATTTATTTTAAATATTTAAATTACTTTTGTATGTATCCGTTCCATATTAAAGGTAAAAATTGTTTGCACGCTCGAATAAATTTTCGTAGAATGTGAACGTATTCGGTTCACTTATACACAAGAATTCACCCGCTGTCAGTTCTGATGGGGAGACATCAAAGGGTTTTACGATGCACGCGTATTTTCATCATACGGGCCCTTTGCCCTTAGGTTTACGTCGTAGCCAATAATTGAAGCTGGGGTTGCTCACTCGTACTGTTAGATCTGAATTAAACATGATGGTTTTCATTTCATGCATCAATCTTAAATACCATATCAATCAATGTAATTTACAAAAATAAGCAAAAAAGACAGCTTAAAATTTCTATTCAAGAGATATTTTTTTTTTAATATTTGTTTTTCGCCAACTTATTTTCATAAGGAAACGTCGATTTTTGAGTCAGAAAATGTCTTGGTTGGATAATTTATGTACATATGAACTTATTACTTTAAATACTTAACCTCACTTAATCACAATTTTTGTTCTTATGTTGATATACTTGTTAAACCGAAATATATGACATAAAACTTCATGAATTTCTCCACAAATGTAAAACCATATTTATTCATAAAGAAATTGATAGATGTAAAGCGCGCTTGAGTTTTAAACTAAGTAAACTTTATTGATTAACAGGATCAAGATCAAAATTATCTCTAGAAAACAAAGTCTTCAAAGACATTCTTAAAACGATTTGGAGCTGTTCAGATATCTTCCAAACCGCACAATAAATCTTTTTAAATCAGGGTGTGGTTAAAAGTCTACTCATATTTTTTGTATCCTTTGGAATGTCTACACCATCCGGCTAATATTCTTGATAAATTCAAGAATATGTCAATTAGGCGCTTTTCAGGTCCTGAATAATGTACCCCGTTCCCGTTTAGGGTTCTGTCAATGGCATTGTATGTGAATATGAGTTTCATCCTCCTCTTCACATATTCTACATAGGAAGTAATTAGATATGCCTAAAAGATTGTCTCGTAAAGTGTCCTATTAGTTCCTTTAATTCGCTCCTGCTAAGGTTTAGTAGATGATCTTGGCTGCTCTTGGATTGATCCTCTATAAATATTCTAGACTACCTATTTCCTGGAAGTACCAACTATATTTTTGGTGTGTTCTTAACTCCTTTCCTTGCTAGGAGGTCTGCTATATGGTTTCCCAACACTTCTTCACTTATTCAAGAGTTACCTTGTTATGCCAGGGCTTTTATGGACTGTAGACAATCTAATATTAAATTGAATTGCATGCCTACCCTTTTCAATGCTTTAGGGTTTGCCCGAGCGTATGTCGTAATAAATATCCTCTTAACTTTAATAGAATCAATAAGATGACTTGGGCCGTCTTTTAATGTCTAGAAGACTGTTGCCAGTGGTCCCAGGTTAAGACGAATGATCCTCACTGAGTTCGCATGGTAATTCCCAGCTCCTGTATTGTCTTGTTATCTTTTGGAACCATCTATATACCATATTGATTTGCTTTGCGTGTCCCTATTTTCCTGGCTTTTGCCTCTTTCTGGTATTTGAACACCGAAGGGTTTTATAAAGTCAATAATAATATATCATTCTTAACACCGGATTTTGTTTCAGTTTTCCTGATATCATTGTATGATGTCCTTTTCTCAAAAGTTCCCATCCAAGTCCATTTGAAAACAGCCTATATGTCGCCGCCGTAGTCGCTTCCTCCACCCCAAGGTGTAATAAAAGAAACCCATTGCTGCAGTGGGCGTACTTCTAAAGGTCTCTTCCAGCCTTTGTATCTTATTTACTTTTCTGCTGGTTGTTATGCTTTTAGCCTTCTGCCACCATATGACTAATAGGTTAAAACGGGTAATACAACCATAGTATAAAGCCATTGCATCATACTTGACCATCCGTCGACAGGCCCATAGCACTCATAGCTTTTCTCGGTATTTTTTTCTCTATAGTTGCAGAGGCTAAGCTTGTTTATCATCAAGGGTGATTCCAAGATATTTAACCTCCTTTACCATTTTTAAATGTTGTTCCCACTTATAAATCTTTATTCCTTGCAGGTTCCTTTTTCTTGTGAATGCAACAACAGAGGTTTTCGCCGGGTTTCTGTACAATCCCTCTTTTAGGCAACATCTTTTGACTATAGTTACTGCCTGCAGCATCTTTCGGAAAAGAAACGGATTCAAATTTACTGTTTACTTGCGTACATAAATTTTCTCTCTTTAACTTCCATAAGAGATCATCAACCATTAAGTTCCGTATAAGTAGAGATCAATCTTCCCTGCGAGCATCCCTTCTTAACTAAGATCTCTTTTGTTGTGGTAAAGAGACTACTGGTAATAGTTCTATGGTTAAGCATGAACTCAACTCATTGCGTTATTCACGCCTATGCATATATTCCAGTAAGGAATTGTACAAAGCCGAATTAAAGGCTCCTTCTATGTCTAGGAATACACCTAATGCTATTTCTTTGCTTTCCAATGCTTGTATAGTCTTTTTAGCTAGCCTATACATAGCTGCATCGCAAGACTTTCCAGGTTAATAGGCAAATTGGTATCGATGTATTTCTCCAAGGTTTTTAGGGGAAATGATGTTAGGCTGAAACGTCTAAAAGATTGAGTCTCCGTATAAGAAGCTTTCCCAGACAACTCTTTTAGGCCTCCAGCATTGTGGAACATATCCAAGGGCTATGCTGTCTCGGAATCATTCAGTACTTCCTGGTCATTTTATAGAATTGCTAAGATTATACCATCAGGTCTCGAAGTCTTGTATGGTTAAAAGGAATGTATCGCCCATACAAGTTTCGTTCTGTTTACTATTGTTTTTGAAGCTCTAGGGACTAATACTTCCATACTCAAGTGCCATTGGCCAAGGATAATCTCACATCCAGGAAAGTGTGAATTTATTAATATTTCTAAAGTCTCTTCTTCTGTGTTTGTAAGTTCTCCTTGTTGATTTTTCAGATCCCATGCATCCTAGCTTATCTCTCTGTAAATTTTTGTCTGAAATATGAAACATTTTGGAAGGTTTTTAATGTCTTTACAAAATTTCCTCCAGAATTTTTCTTTTGCTTTCCTAATGGCATAATATTCCATCCCATACGCCTTATAGGCCCGACTTTTGGCCGGGTTAAAAAGTTCACCAACTACTGCTCTTCTGGAAAGATCCCGATTCGACTCTATGCTGTATAGTGTAATCGATTCTCAATTATTTATAAGGCAGTTTTTTTTTCAAACGCGTTGGTTGAGGTTTGTATTAGAAACTCTGATATAAACACAACTTCCTCAGAATTCCTGCGTGAGTTCTCTCTTAAAGCCCCCCTCCCCCAAATTAAAGATGCTAGGATTACGATGTCTGAAAGTGACACTTCTTTTGAAACGTGCTACTTTCCCACTAACAAACACGCCCGTTGTGTACCAAGTATATATCAATGTTGCACAGAAAAAATTGACCCAACTTTGTTTTTGCTCGAAATTAAATGAAATTTTACATTTAATGTGTATCTTATTTGATATTTGTTAACATTATTAATAATGTTACACAATAATTTGCTCAATAAATTACTTAACTCATACTTATTTTTCTGCAAATACGTTGCATTATATGGAAACGTGTTGTATTTTACCTTATTATCAATAAGAATATTAATTGCGTAGAAATTAATTCTATATAATAAATTAAATTAAAAAAAAAAAAAACACATTTTTGTATTTATCTCAATTTCCTAAACACTATGCACCTTTCAAGTACTAATTTTTCATTATTTCTTGTACATTATTATATTTTATTTTAGGTAGAAGATTTAGACATGAGAATTGGTATACATTCTGGCTCTGTTCTTTGTGGTGTAATAGGCCTTCGCAAATGGCAATTTGACATTTGGTCAACGGATGTGCGTCTAGCTAATCATATGGAATCTGGTGGAAAACCTGGGTAAGTAACAACTTACAACAATATTCAACTCTACAGATTTTTCAATTGGGTACCATTCTATTCGATTTCTCTGAATATCCCCACCTATTCCCTCTCATCCAGGTGCAACCTCTAAACTATACTAAACCTAATATATTCATTGGCTGAGTGGAAATATTTTAGTTTGACTAAACTTACAAAAATATTTAATTCTTCGTCAGCTTTTACTTCATCTTCTCCAGTATACTAAATTTATGTTTTGTTATTATTTTATAACAGTTTTATCATTGTTACGGTTGCTTTTATACCTTAATATACAAAAACTACTGGGAATTTTATTACTAACAAACACTTGATTTATTATGTTTTTATGGATTACTATTTAAATATTTAATCGTATATTATATTTTTCTAACGCATTTATTTCAGACAAGTGCATATCTCAGAAGCTACTTACCAATGCTTGGGTGGAGCATACGAAGTGGAACCCGGAAATGGACAAGATAGAGATGCTTACATTCGGGAACATAATATTACTACTTTTCTAATCAAACAAGTTGAACCAATGAGATCTCGAAAACGTTTAGCTTCTAGACCGAGGTAAGTAACAATGTTAACCTTTACAGATGCCTTCCATATTTTATAAACGTGACATTAAATTTTTGATTTAAAGAGAAATCGATGTAGGACGAATTGAGACACGCAAGGTCCTTATAATTGACCCAATTTTATTTTTTTAAATTTTATTTAGTAGCTGTTGGTGAACTTTGGTGTTGTCAATAAAACAATTTGGAAATAGTTTTTTCCCAACCTTCTATATATGAAATTCATTGATCCACTCTCATGAATTATAGTTGACTAATAAAATTAGCTTATACCGAACATGAGCATCCTTTAATTATAAACTAACAGAGACAATACAACATGAACGAATAGAGGAACGTGAAAAAAGAAAAAAAAAATTCTTCTCCCCCCACTCATCCAACTTCCCTCCCCCTTCTTACACTGCCACTCCTAAATTGTAAGGGATAGAAAATAACTAATTGCGGAGCCCCATTTAAAACGATTTCAAAGCCCCCTTCCCTACTTCTCCCCACTACTTCTTCGCCTCCCCTACTTCTCCCAGCACCCCAGAGAAGGTCAATATATAGAATCGCTAAACTGAGGAAAATAAACTTTGGGTACAATAAATTGGACTGAGGTGAAAAAAATTTTACAACCTCTTACCCCCTACCCTCTCCCTTCCATATGGAACAAAAGTCAAAAAAAATTTTTTTTTAATTAGACCTAAAAATCGCACACCTTCAGGATCTGGAGATTTTTGATCCACCTCTCCGCTCTACCCCTCTACTCACTCCACCCACGGTTGTATAAAGGATCAAAATGTAAGATGTGATCCGATTTTTTTACCAGGGACCGATTACAATAAGGTGAACACAGTTACGTCATCAATTGGCGAAGTATTCGTTGGCTTTTGTCGCCTTCTAGGGGTTTAGTGACGAGAAACGAACAATATTTTACGACTAGTTGAAGGTTTAATTAAGAGCGATTATACATGTGTTAACAAGTAAACAAGCAATCTACAAAAGTCCTGATAAGGCGTTATTAGATATATTATCTAACAGCTGGTTTGGCACTATTCCTGGAATTGCACCATGTAACTGGCGTGTTAATATTATAAAAACGTAGGAATAACATTTTTACACCTACCAACTCACATATTCTTTATTTATTGATAGTTATAGATAATATGTTATTGTAAATTATAATAGTTATGAAGTTGCAATGTTTTTCATATTGTAATCGGACGTTACCTTCCCCTCCTACAAAAAAGTTGACAATTAATTTTATAACGGATATTAATTATTGGAACAGTACCTATTATATTGGACGTTCTTTGGGCAGGATTATTATGATCCCTCGAAGGACAGGTAATTTCCTCCTCCGCCCCTGCCTAAGTGTAGTAAATTGCGATAATACCATTTTTCACCCCTTTTTAACCCCCTAAAACGTTAATACACGCCCTCCCCTTAGGTTGCATTTATTTTTTTTATTTTTTATAAGCCCTTCTACTATTTTCACTTACGAAATTCCTGTTAACAATTTTATATTTTTTTCATCTAAATGAGTTAATTCGGCTGGTCACTTCATTACCAACGAAAATATTAAAAAAATATTGCACTTTTCCTTAAATTTTTCAATTGCGGTCAAATTTATAGAAAATAACATCATAAACAACTTTTGTTTAACGAATTTTCTACTACAATATACCAGAAATATACCTTAAAGTAAAAAAAAAGAACTATTGAAAGTACTTGCGGCTATATTTCGATAGGCAACTTGGCAATTTCTCTATCCATAATTATATATAAAAATTGTATTTTGATTAAAAATCAGATTTGTGCAGGAATCACACGGTTAGATCTTAGACCTTCCAAGAACTGATTACATTTACTTAATACTCAACTGATTTAGATTATAAAATTTTAAACTGTTGATAAAAAAAAGAATATCCACCTCTTATGTAATTATCCATATATGTAGGTATGATTCAGAGTCCAGTAGAACTACACATGTACTGCAACTGTAGACATATTGTCCCCTTTCTGCTGTTTTAGCCAATTGCGTCAATACCTGTATTTTCGAGATTTCTTCAGGATATTATAAGTACTCCGAAATTCCCGATCCACTCCGAGGTTCGTTTTCGACATTTTTTTAAGATCATAATAAACTCTTTAGATCCTAAATTAGACTGTATATGTCATACACAATTGTTTTTGTAGTATTCTTCCAGAGACTTGTAAAAGTGTTGGCAATCCAATATTGGTTTGTATTGTATTTAGTGCTATAAGGCTACTATCTTTCATAATACATAACATAATTTAAAGGCAAACTTTTATTCCTGTTTCTTCAGCTCATTTATCATTAACCCCCAATTTAGTCTAACGATAATTCTTGATTTAGCAACAGTCTGTATTTGTTAGATGTTCTTTTCCTACTATAAATTATAATAAAAGAAAATCCACTCTTAAAGGTAACAGTCCTAAATTTTTCAGCATTAATTTTTGTTCCTCGAAATGACTAGTGAATTTCAGTTACCCATTTCATGTTTCAGCATATTTTCGAACAAATTGTGGCCAGAAGAAGATATAAAAAGTCCTCTTAGTTCACCCAATACCCCACCTACGCCAGTTTCGCCACCTTTACCACCTTCAAGCGAAAGGAGTGACAGTGGTATACAACATAGTGGCACAGAAGAAGAAAATACCACAGACTGGACTCCCGAAATCCCCTTTGAAAATGTAAGATGAACATTTATTTATTCCGATCACTATAAGTCTATAGGAGCGGCATATTTTAATGATGTACAAATAACTTTCGTTTCTAGCTTCATAGAACTATTTCAAATGAGTTGGACGAAGAAATAGAGACAGTATCTTACAAACAAAAATTTGAATCGGACGAAGGCAAATATAAGAAACGGGGCTCGACTTTTCAATCACCTAGTGAACAAGTCGATGAAATTATTGACCATAGTATAGAAATCGAAAGTAATAAACGAATGAGAAATGCCAATGTTAACCCTTGGACATTGAGGTTCATAGACAAAGAGATGGAACACCACGTAAGTATTCTATTGTTTTAAAAGTTAAAAGAAATCACCACACTGAAAAGAAAGATACTCTCTAGAGGAGAGTAAAAGACAAAAAATAACTCAAAGTAATTAGACATTGTACTAGCTAGACTAGTTTTCGAAAAGTATTTTCCCTACATTCATTAATATTGATACTTTGTTTAAGTAGAATAAATATAACTACTTAAAATAAATCAATAATTTTTAATGTTTACAATATTTGTTTTTATTTTAGTTTAGTCAACTTCGAGAAGATATGTTTAAATCTAATATGATGTGCTGTTTTATAATATGGCTATTCATTGTGATATGTCAAGCAATTACCACAGACATGTAAGTAAACATTTTTTTTAAGTTAGCTGTTGCGTTTGGTTTATACATTTGTTTTATGCGCATGCGCACCCTCCTTTGCTCAGCAACTGCCTCACACGCAGCTGCTATTATGCGTGCTACTCTATCGCATAGTACACGCAGTGATTCTTTGACGAATCCCACACTTATGAAGACTAGAGATAAGGAGGCGAATCAGCATACTCAAAATACGGTTCCAAAAACGAATTAGGATTCTACAATTCACCGCATAGGCGCTGTTAAAAATGCGTGGCTTCTTATGGGACTTTTACATAATTTTGTGAAAATAATAAAAATATGCCAGATTTACCGTTTTTCTGATATTATTTGTCAGACATTACCCTGCATGTTGTATCGTTACTATAGTCTCCCTTTCAATCATATGTAAACCTTGAGATTTGATGTAGTCAGGCATTATTTAGATGAGATATTTCCCGGACGATGGATTAGTAGACGAGGTATTAAATGGCCTCCTCGTTTACCCGATTTCAGTCCTAAATATTGTTTTTATTGGGGATACTTGAGAAGCAAAGTATACAAAACCAAACCAGCAGGTCTTACAGAGCTAAGGCAACGAATTATCAATAATTCTCGAATAATTTATAAAGAATCATGGAGAAATATAGTAGACGCGTTCTACCATCGATTAGGTTAGTGTTAAATTGACAACTGAGCACATTTTATTAAGTAGACATTATTTTAGCAAATGTAGCTTCGAGCATATATTTACTATGCTCGAAGAAATGTAGCAATCTTTCAATTGTTACATTGTAATAAAGTTGCAACGTAGTTTCTAATAAAACTTTTATTGAGACAATTAGGCGTTTCCAGACACTTGTTTTATTTATTAGAGAGGTTTTTAAATACATAAAATCTCAACTGTTGCATATGGTTAAACTCATATTAATTAAATAATGTTTAATTAAAAATAGTACCAGATATGGGGCTCCAACTCTGGCACTTGTTTATTTGTACATTATATTCTATAAAATATATATTTAATTGGAAAAAATGATGAATGTATGTTGAAATGAAAGTTGACTAAAGTCGGCATCTAAGACTAAAATACGACAAAGTTTATAAACTGGCGAATTTAATAAGACATTAGTTCGCAGAGTCGGTAGGGTAAAAGACATAATTTGTGCGAGAATTTAAGCGTGGAATCAGAAAGTTCATTCCCAAAAGAGTTAGATCATGTATAATATTGTTTAATAATATAACAGCATAGCATAGTAAGTTCTTTAAAGGGCGTCTTTGGACATATTTAACAGTATTAATATGTACTGAGTGAAAGGAAGACTAAACTGTAAGATGCGTATTCTAGTTTAGAACGGTCAAATTATGTAATATACAAGGTTGCCAATGTTGAATTGTGTTAAATATTTCTGCCATTACGTAGTACGAAGCCATAGACTCGATTGGCTACAGTTTCGATATTTCGAGCGATAAATTCTATATAAACTATAAAGTTATGTTGTTAAACATCACTCCTAAATCATTTATTAATATTGGTATTTTTTAAATTACATTACTAATGGAATATGGATATATTTTATGACATTATTTCAACAGTTCAAACACAAATTCTCCAAGTTAATTGTATTCATTTACTGTATAGTACCTTTACGGCTGGCAAAGATTACCATTTCACAGTAAATTCAATTTCTATTAGCTCAACAAGCCCTTCAAGTACGGATCTGTATTATTTTACTGGATAGGATATAGGCTATATTTGACATACTAAAAATACGTTCCACCAATAAGACTGGTAATGCAACACTGTTGGTCGATTTGAGCAAATTATGGTGGGATAATTTAAAATACCTAACTTAAATTTGATAAATTCCTTTCGGGACAATTTACCCATAATTTGATTTTTTATGAAAGAAAATATAAAACTGCAACGTTAAGCATTAGAGAGTTAAAGTGATGCTATGAACGTAAACGTATACGTGAAAATTGACATTTACGCATGCGTATTTAAATATCCTTCACGTTTACGTACATACGGAAGCTTACTCTGGCGTATATACGCAACGCAAACAAAATAACCTCTTTTTAATTGGAAAAGAAGAAATCCTGATATTAATTGTCATTATCTGTCTTGACACGTAAATTCCACGATGCGTTTAGCAACTTCAGCTCAGATTTTGGACTTCAGCGTAAACGTTCTGCGTGACGTTCACGTTAACGTACTGGAAATATTTCATCTCTTGTGTATTCACGAATGAACGTTTATTGTTTATATCATAGTAATGCTATCCAATCTTTATCTTTATCTTTATCGGTTGTAAGCAGGTAGGGTTAGGTTTGGCCCAGAACACTGCGGCCTCTTGGATCTATTGTATTCCCCTGCTTTCCCCGTATTCAGGTACTATCTTCGGAATAGTCCTGTGTCTTTGGTTAGTTTTAATAGGTTCCCTACCAAGTGTTCCTGGGGCGTTCTTTCCGGTTCTAGGCCCAAAAGGATGAAACGTCGCCCAGTAAGAGCTTCGCATTCGAAGATCACATGGTATGAGATTTCTTCCTCTTCCATGCAAAGTCTACACGTAGTGGGATCATTGTGTAATCCCATTACATGAAGGTGTTTCAGCAAGCAGTGCCCCGTTAATAATCCCACAATGTTGGATATCTGAGGCCTCACGAGTTGTAGTGCCTCAGTAGTCATGCGTGGGTTTGGTCCCCTTAGCATGAGCTTACTGATTCTGTGCCCTCTTATCTGTTTCCAGTGAATTTGGTGTTTTATGGTTATCCACCTGTTCACTGCCTGTCGAGCAGAGGTTTTGCTTATCCCAAATACAGGTTCGGGTCCTGTGAATGGTAAATCTGATCCCTCTTTAGCTAGTTCATCAGCCTTTTCATTTCCTTGGATACCTTTGTGCCCTGGTACCCACGCCAATTTTACCTTGTGGGTTGCCAGATCATTTAGTATTCCAAGGCAGTTCCAGACAAGCTTTGACTTAATTATGTTTGAATCAAGAGCCTTTAAAGCTGCCTGGCTATCTGAGAGAATTAGGATGGTTTGTTTTTTGTACTTCCTTCTTAAATTCTCTCGTACACACAATTCGATTGCATGTATTTCAGCCTGAAATACAGTGGCATGTTTTCCCAGTGAGACGATGATGTCGCATTTGGGTTTAACTCCATATACGCCAGAGCCTGTTTGTTCCCTTGTTAGTTTTAGATCCATCCGTATACCATACGAGGCCGCTAAGCAAGTATTTATCTATCTCCTTATTTACCTCGTTCCAGTTACAGTTGACCTGGAAGAGTGTGTTAAAGGTTAGGAGGGGTGTCATGTGATCTGATCCCATATTTAATATAGAATCATTTACTTCATGTGTTATTCTGGTATGTTTTATATGTCCCAGTGGGTTACAGTTGTTGGAGATGTCCAGTCTGCATGCACTCATTCTGGCCTCCCCCTTTATGACTAAGTCAAGGGGTGGGAGGTTTAGAATGATTTCCATAGAGGCTGTCGGTGTACTTCTCAGTGCTCCTGTCATACAAAGGCATTCCAGCCTCTGTACTCCTGAGAGGGTATTGAGGGCTGTTTTCTGGTTTACTTTTGGCCACCAAACAACCGCTCCATAAGTTATCATGGGTCTTGTTATTGCCAAATATAGCCAGTGGACCACTTTTGGTTTTAATCCCCATGTTTTTCCAAATGCCCGTCTCCCTACAATGAGAGACATTTTACATTTGTTGGTCACTTTTTGTAAGTGTTGGTTCCAAGTAAGTTTGCTATCTAGGATTAGACCCAGATATTTTACTTGGTTCGGTTTGTTTAGCCTTCCTCCAAACAGAGTCGGAGTTTCTAAATCTTCCACTTTTGTTTTTCGAGTAAAGGTTATGAGTTGTGCCTTATCAGGGTTTACCAAGAGGTTTTCTCTAACGCACCACATTTCTGTCAGCCTAAGAGCTCTTTGCATGAGTTCAAAGAATGTGGTTTGGTGTTTCCCTCGGATAAGAATGACTATGGCATCGGCATATCCTTGGGCATACAGCCCTTGATTGTTTAGTGTTTTCAGCAGTTCGTCTGCCACTAGGTTCCAAAGTAGAGGAGAAAGGACTCCACCCTGTGGGCATCCACTGTGGATATTCACCTGCATGGTTTCACTGAACATTTGTGCCTGTACTTGCCGTCCGCATAACATGTCTTCTATCTACCAGCAGATGGTGTCTTCTATTCCATGTTTGCGAGCGGCAGCTACCATTGATTTAAAGGAGGTATTATCAAAAGCTCATTCTATGTCAAGAAATGCTCCTAGGACTATTTCTTGGCTACTGAGTCCTCCCTCTATCTTGGTTATAAGATGATGCAGAGCAGACTCACAAGATTTTCCTGATTGATAGGCATGTTTGTTTGTTTGTTTGAAATGGCCTCTCTATCAGAGTGGTTTGCCGGACATGCTGATCAATCAGTTTTTCCAATCCTTTCAATAGAAATGACGTCAGAGTTATTGGTCTATTGACCTTTGCCACGGCATACGTTGGACGCCCCAATTTAGGTATGAAGACAACTCTGCTTTGTTTCCAGGTATTTGGTACATGTTTATGCACCAAACTTGCCATGTAGAGCCTACAAATACGCAAGGCCAGCGTTTCTATTGCCTGTTGCAAAAGCACAGGCAGTACCCCATCTGGTCCCGGTGATTTGTATGGATTGAAGGTGCGTATTGCCCATGTTACTTTCTCTGTTGTAACTACCCGTTTAGCAGTTTCCCACTCTTGGCTGGAAACCCTTTTTTGAGAGTTCCAGTTCGTGTGAGTTTGGTTTGCTGCATTCGAGTTTGTTGTGCAATCAGGGAAATGTGTTTTAAGAAGTAGTTCTAATGTTTCCATTCCAGTTTCAGTGTATTCCCCTGTTTGGGTGTTTAAAGTCCCCACAGGGTTTATTGGATCTTTTGCTAGAATGCGGTGGAGTCTGCATCCTTTAGTTGTATTTTCAATTTCCTGACAGAATGTTCTCCATGAATCCC